AATTGATTTAAAAAATTTACTAATCAATTAAACTAAATTTATTTTAAAAATATTAAAATTTGAATTAAATCATACCACGAATATGCTTAGATTAGGTGACCACATTGGTAGAGAAGCATCATTTAGAATTCAAGGCTAGCTCTAGTGCTTTGGAGACAAATCCTCTCGAAGTTGATACCATTCAAAAAAATGGTCACATTGTCATTAAAGGTAGTCCTTGCAAGGTTATGGATGTTTCTACTTTTAAGACAATCATGCATGGTCATGCTAAATGTCACTTTATCGGAATTGGATATCTTCACTACCAAAAAGCTTGAAGGTATCCTGTCCTCCGCCCGCAATTGTGATATTTTTCTCTTGAATCCTACTAATTAGACGTTGTTTGATATCCTTGAAAATGAATTTGTTAGTCTTGAGAATGCTAATAACAAGGATGACTTTAGACTACTAGACAATGAGAATCACTACGGGTAGAATAGGGATGGATTTACTAAGGGAAACAATCTAATTAAATCTAATTGTCTCATTTAAATCTGGAATCAAAATAGAGCATATCTTTCCTCAAGGATATTGAAAAAAAAAATAAATTTGTCCTCAAGTTCTATAGAGAACTTAACAATGCTTTGTACAATTCATCAGTATTTAATTTGATTAGATACTATTGTGAACCTCTTGTTCCATAGAGAATCATGAGAATAAAAATAAAACAGTATCAATAGTCGCATTTTGACCCATTTTTTACGGACCTGGGCAAACATAGTACTCTTCTTAATAATTATGAGACAAAAAATCATTTTATTGTTTGAATTGTAAAAGATAAACCTTTAGATTAGAGGTTTTTTTGTCTAAGTATTTTTATTTTATAATATATTATGATTTGAATGGTAAAATATAAATATTTAGATAACATACCTCCCATTCTAAAGATTTTTGTTTTATAATTTGTTACAATAAAACAACAGCTTATTATGAAAAGTTTGAATTGTAAATATAATAGGAAATTTAAAGATAAAATTTTAATTAAGATAATTTTTTTATAAAGAATTTTTTTTTTTAAAATAAAAGAAGACAATTTTTCATAGTTTGTTACTAAATTAGTAAATTAGGAAGGAAACTTATTTTTTATTTTTCTTTTTGTATCCTCTATTTATAGAGGAAGAAAATACCCAAGAAACTTTAATTTTTTTCTAACCTTTGTCCATCTAAACCGTTCAAATCTCCCCCTTCAATCGTCGCCATTCGATGGCAAAAGACAAAGAAAACAGATAAAAGAAACTCAGCTACGGAGAGGTGCAAAAGGGGACCTCAGAGCTGTTGTCGGGTTCCTCTTACTTGGTGGGAAGGGCCTGTTCTTGCCCCTGATTTGTACTGAGCAGTGAAGGGGGACCAATTCAGGAGCGTTTGCTGTGATGCTGCCACGTGAGATCTTGTACCTTTAATATGAAAAATATTAATATAGAAATACTCGTATTCATGTTAAAAATACATTCACGTATCTCCTTAATGAACAAATTCTTTTCTGAGAAAACTTGACATTAAAAATATTTTCTTTTTAATTCACAACTTTGGTATTGGGATGTATTTTTTATTTCTCCAATATTTGAGTTATTTTTTCCTAATATTTTCAAAATAAAAATGAAATATTTAAATTTAAAATGAAATTATGTATAAAAAATGCATGCCCATATAGTTGCTTTCTATAAAATTTGTTTTTACACCTTTTCCATTATCATGTAAATTAAATAAATACTTGAAAATATAAATTGATTAGATATATTAAAAATATGTAATCAATGTTCATTTATATCACATTTATAATAAAAACTCTTAAATTTTTGTTAACTTATTTTGTGAATCTTTTCATTTTTGCATAATTTCATTTCTACAACTATATTCATAATAATAATTACTTCATAATTTTGTTTATAACAAGAAGGCATGTGTTTACTTTTGAATACATATGGCAAAAGTACCCATTCAAGATTGTTATTTCTAGAGTATATCTGAGGCATGAAAAAAAGAAAAGTGCCATTTTTAATATGTCTTCATCAATTTTCATCTTCTCAGTATGTAGCAATTTAAAATATTTGTAGAATTATGCTTAAATAATAAATAAATCCATTTATAGTTAGTTTTTGAAAGAATTATAATATTTTGTTTTGGTTATTATATCTTTTTTTCCAAACCATTTCAAGATTCTAATGAATCTTCTATCATTCAATATTAAGCCTTTAGTTTTTTTATAGATTTCATGTTAAGGAAATATCACTTTATTACAATTTTTTAAGGATGTTTGCTTCTCTTTAAAGAATGTTTTTCTTTTTTAAAGGAGGTTTTATTTCATTTTATAATTGAATTTTCAAAATTTATTGTAGCTAAACAATTTTTCACGTCAAAAATTCATAACAAATAATTGAAGCTCAATTATCAAAGGTAATAAACTCAAATATCATGACAAAAGGTAAATTAAAATATAAACAAAAGAATTATAATAACACTATAAAATATTAAAACCTAAAAATTAAAAAATAAAATTTTGCCTCAAAATGTGGATTTGTAATTGCAAACTAATAACATATTAATATTATTAAATTTCAAATGAAGTGATGATAAATTTTTAAAAAAACAATATATAATTTATCATCTAA